ATTTATCCATCATAAAAGTTGAATCTCAAAGTTAGAACCCAACTCAAAAAATTAGACCCTAAATAGTTTAAACCCACCCCCAAAGTTGTAACTTAATCAATTAGAACATATAAAACAATTTGGTTTTTAAAAGTGAGACTATTTAAAAATATTGAATATTTTTGGACTATAGTCAAATTTTTTTTGATTATTTAAGGGATAAAAGGGATAAAGTGTGATATAAACCCTAGATTGGTCGCCGATTTCTACAGCCGGTCTTACTTCTTCATGTAAATTATATTTACACCCCACAAATTATAATATATTATTTTTTATTTTCAATATTGTGGTCCATAAATCACAAAAACCTTATCTTCACCCTACACCCATTTTTCCGCCCAAACCATTTTTCACTTCTCTTTCCTTCCCTCCATCTCTTTTACCGTACATCCCTTCTCCCATACAAAAGTTTTTGTTTGGTTTAGGTTTTGAGTCTCCGACGAGGTGGTGTGAAACTCCATCCATTGCTTACCAAATTGGGACATTTAAAAAATTGGGAATCAGACTAACACTAAACTCTCTCTCTCTCTCTCTCTCTCTCTGCTTGTGTTGATTTGATGAATTAAATCTTTATTAGATGATTTTTTTATTTTAATTTGATAAATTGAATATTAATTTAATGAATTAAATATTAATTGGATGGATCGAATTTTAATTTGGTGTTAATATGATGAATTAAATGTTTATTTGGTATAAATTTGATAAATTGAATATTAAATGTTATTAGATGAAATTGAATGTTAATTTGTTGAATTGAATATTAATTTGGTATTGATTTGATGAATTAAATGTTTATTGGATGGAATTGTATGTTACTTTGATATTGATTTGTTAAATTGAACCTTTATTGGATGATTTTTTATGCTAATTTGGTCAATTGAGTGTTAATTTAATGAATTGAATGTTAATTTTGTGTTAATTTTATGAATTGAATATTAATTGGATGTGATTGAATGTTAAGTTGATGAATTAAATGTTTATGAGATGAAATTGAATGTTGATTTGAAGAATTGAATGTTAATTTATTATTTATATAATGTTTATTGGATGAAATTGTGTATTACTTTGGTGTTAATTTGTTAAATAGAATCTTTTTTGGAGTATTTTCGATCTTAATTTTATGAATTGAATGAATTAAATATAAATTGGATGAGATTGAATGTTACATTGATAAATTAAATGTTTATTAGTTGAATTTAAATATTAGTTTAATGAATTAAATGTTTATTAGGTAAAATTAAATGTTGATTTGAATAATTGAATGTCAATTTGGTGTAAATTTGATGAATTGAGTAATAATTGGATGAAATTGAATGTTACTTTGATGTTGATTTGATAAATTGAATATTATTGAATGTTAGTTAAAATTTAACATTCAATTCATCAAATCAATACCAAATTAATATTCTATTCATCAAACTAACACCAAAATAGTATAAATTGAATGAATTGAATATATATTTGGTATTGATTTCATCAATTGAACATAAATTTGGTATTAATTTGACAAATGAATATGTATTGGATGAATTTAATGTTAATAGTTGAATTTAAATGTTAATTTTATTAATTGAATGTTTATTAGATGAAAAGTAATGTTAATTTAGCGTTGAGTTAATGAATTAAATGTTCATTTAATTAATTTTCACATTACTTTAGTGTTGATTTGATAAATTGAATTTTTATTAGATGATTTTGAATGTTAATTTTGATAAATTGAGTGTTAATTGGATGAATTGAATGTCGATTTAGTGTTAATTTGATGAATTGAATATTAATTGAATGAATTAAATGTTAATTTGGTATTAATTTGATGAATTAAATATTAATTAAATGAAATTGAATGTTACTTTGATGTTGGTTTGATAGTATTTTGTGTTGGGCTATACCTTTTTGGAGTTGCGACGGATGTGGACGATGAATTTAATAAAAGTGGGAATTGAATTTTTTCAAAAAATTCAACTGTTTTCTAAGGAAATATCCTGCCCAAATTTTTTTTCAAAAAATATACTTTGCATCACAAAAATATTTGTTATTCTCAAACAAGTTATATGTACCAATAAAGGGATGGAGGGAAGGTAAGAGAAGTGATTTGGGCAGGAAAAGAAGAAAAAAGTGGAAAAGACAAAAAAAGGCGGGTACTGGGGTAGCGACATAAGTTATTGTGGACGTTCAAAATAAATGAATAAATAAATAACTAGATAAATAAACATTGTTATATTTTAGGAGTGTAAGTGTAATTTATTTATAGATGAATGAAGACCGACCCTGGAATGAGCGACCGATCTAGGTATAATATTACACTATAATCCTTTGATATTATACTTTTAATCTTTTGATATTACACTTTTAACCTTTTGATATTATAATTTATCAAATTAACATCCAAAATCATTCAATAAATATTCAATTTATCAAACCAACATCAAAGTGACATGCAATTTCATCTAATTAATACTCAATTCATCAAATTTACACCAAATTAACATTCAATTCTTCAAATCAACATTTAATTTTACTTAATAAACATTTAATTCATTAACGTACATTCAATCTCATCCAATTTATAAAATTAACATCAAAAATCCTTCAAAAAAGATTCAATTTAACAAATTAACAGCAAAATAATACTCAATTTCATCCAATAAACATTATATAAATAATAAATTAACATTCAATTCTTCAAATCAACATTCAATTTCATCTAATAAACATTTAATTCTTCAACTTAACATTCAATCACATCCAATTAATATTCAATTTATAAAATTAACATAAAATTAACATTCAATTCATCGAATTTATATTTAAATTTATTAAATTAACACTTAATTTGTCAAATTAGCATAAAAAATCATCCAATAAAGGTTCAATTTAACAAAGTAATATCAAAGTAACATACAATTTCATTCAATAAACATTTAATTCATCAAATCAATACCAAATTAATATTCAATTCAACAAATTAACATTCAATTCATCTAGTAACATTTAATATTCAATTCATCAAATTTATACCAAATAAACATTCAATTCATTATATTAACACCAAATTAAAATACAATTTATCCAATTAATATTTAATTCATTAAATTAACATTGAATTCATCAAATTAAAATAAAAAATCATCTAATAAAGATTTAATTCATCATATCAACACCAAAATAACATTCAATTTAACAAATTAACATTTCATTTCGAATAATAAACATTCAATTCATTAAATTAACATTTAAATTAACTATTTAACATTCAATTCATCAAATTAACATTCAATTCTTCAAATCGACATCAAACTAACATTCAATTAATCAAATTAACACAAAATTAATATTCAATTCATTAAATTCGCATTCAATTCTATCTAATAAACATTTAATTCATCAAATTAACCTAACAATCAATTTCATCCAATAAAATTTTAATTTATCAAATTAACACTAAATTAACATTCAATTCATCCAATTTACACTCAATTTATCAAATTAACATCCAAAATCATCTAATAAAAATTCAATTTATCAAACCAACACCAATGTAATATAAAAATTCATTGAATAAATATTTAATTCATCAAATCAACACCAAATAAACATTCAATTCATTAAATTAACATTTAAATTATAATTAATATTCAATTCATCAAATTAACACCAAATTAATATTTAATTCTTCAAATTAATACTAAATTAACTTTCAATTCATCAAATTAACATTAAATTAACTTTCAATTTATCAAATTAACACAAAATTAATATTCAATTCATCAAATTCACATTCAATTCTATGTAGTAAATAATTAATTCATCAAATTAACTTACCATTCAATTTCATCAAATAAATATTCAATTCATCAAATTAATACTAAATTAATATTCAATTCATCTAATTTATATTCAAAATCATCCAATTAACACTCAATTCATCAAATTAACATTCAAAATCATCTAATAAAATTCAATTTATCCAACCAGAACCAATGTAATATAGATGATTGAATGTTTATTAGATTTTTAATTGATTGAATGTTTAATTGAATGTTTATTAGATGAAATGTAATGTTAATTTAGCGTTGAGTTAATGAATTAAATGTTTATTTGTTTAATTTTCATATTACTTTGGTGTTGATTTGATAAATTGAATTTTTTTTGGATGTTAATTTTGTTAAATTGAGTGTTAATTGGATGAATTGAATGTCAATGTAGTGTTAATTAGATGAATTGATATTAATTGGATGAATTAAATATTAATTTGATATTAATTTTGTGTTGGGTTACACTTTTTTGGAGTTGCCAAGGATGTGGATGATGGATCCAATAAAAGTGAGAACTGAATTTTTCAAAAAATATTTTTTACTCTCAAATATATGTATTATTAAAGGGATGGAGGGAAGATAAGAGAAAGTGATTTGGGCGGAAAAAGAAAAAAAACGGCGGGAAAGACAAAATCTGGATAAATAAACATTATTATATTTCACGGGTTTAAGTATAATTTACTTATGAATTAAGGCCTGCCGTCGGAACGAGAGACCGATCCTGGTGGGCGCTACCACAAGTACCCGACTTTGATCCTAACCTTCTCCAAACTCCTCCTCTCCTTCCATTCTCTCTCCAGTGTTCTCTTCGCCTTCAAGCTTTTTACCTCATCTCTCTCTCCTCTTCGCTCCTCTTCCCTCCTCCCTCGGTCCCATTCATCTTCTCTCTCCTTCAACCACCCTTCAGAGACCCTCAATTCTCTCGCCACTACCCTCACTTCTCTCTCTTTTCCAACTCAATTCGCTAATTCACTGCCTCATGCTTCATGTATCGCCATCTCATTGCTTCAGCTTATACATGATTACTCATGGGAGTCCGAAATTGAGAATCTGTCAGGTAAAAATAACGATTTCCCAGTTATTTGTTCCAATTTGGTTATTTTGCTTTCTCCCATTTGTAGATCGTTCAAATATTTATCTGAATTCATGGGTATTGATTTAAATGACGAAAGGTCAAATGAATTTATTGTGAAATTTCGTGAATTGTTTGGTGTCGTGAATGATGCATATGTTAGTAGGAATACTCATTGTAGTTGGATTGACGTTAATTATGAAATGGGGTGCACTGAAGAAAAGGGTGGAATAAATGAGCCTGGAACACAGATTGCAGTATTGTTTCAGAATGGAATTAGGAGCTTAGGTTGGAGTTTTGGTTCAACTGAGTCAATTGTCTTGGGTTCTGCTCTTATTCCCTTTGGATTGATATATCCGAAGATTGGAACTCCATTTAATGTTGTGAAAGGTAATAATCTGAACAAGAGCATTTCTGCCCAATTGAGTCTAGAGATTTCAGATGTCAGTGGGAAGTCTTTGGAATGCAAGTGCTGTGATCTTCAATTACTGAATCCAATGTTGTCTAAGCTTACTTCTGATAATACTGTAAATGCTTTGAGCTTTAAGGATTCAGAAACCGAAGGGTCTAATAATAATGAATCATTTTGGTGTCATTTGGGTGATGGACCTGTAAAGCTGCATGTCAATGCAGTGCAGAGGTATGCAATGAGTGAGAAAATTAAAGGGTGCTCGATTGGTCATATCCTAGTAAGAGGATGCTCTGGACAACCTGGAAAAAGTAGGAAGAAGTGTTCGAAAGAATTTTTTGCAGATAGGGCTCTTAAAATGCTATTGAGCGGAATGGGTGAGTTCATTCTGAGGAATTCCATTCCCATATGGCAAATTCTTCCGAGTGTTCTTTACATGGAGGGCTACTGGGCTTTGGTATCTCTTTCAAATAGCAAAGGGGATCGATTCAGTAGTATCCTTAAGCCTTTAATAGCTCATTTGGCTCTTCGCTCTATAATAGATAATGGTCTCTTTACAATAAATAACTTTATTGGATCGAACTTGGCAAACATAGATGTTGAGATTTACAAAACCTCTGTTGATAAGACAAACTCAGATAGTTGTACTGGTTCTCAAACTGATACATCACCATCTGGAAAATGTGTGCAACTAGGGGATGGCAAAAGAAAAACGAATAAAAAGCACTTGCATCAGAACCTCAAATGGAGCTCCTTCCGTGAGGTAGCCTTTGAATGCTTTGATTTTGACTTGGCAGAGAACTTGACAACTCAAAGAAGCTAAATTTTTTAAAATGCTGGATGAAACAAGTCAAAAAGCCTAGTCATTACCGCCTAACAGCACCACATGGATCTAAGTCACTAGAGCACATGGCCAAAGAAATAGATTAAAGGCTAAATATGGCAAAAGAAGAGAGTGAACAACCCACGTCTCCTCATGTTTCATCTGAACCATGTGGAATGCAGGAGGGAGCTGCTTCTGTTTCGTGTTTGGAGGCAGCCGAATCTTTCTTCAATAATCTTCCAATGAAAATCCAACAAAGCCATGAATCGGGATTGGACTTGCAGACCTTGTCAGAGAGACTTGTGAACTCATCCATTCATTGGTTATCTCAACAGCATGAAATAGACAACAATGTGGAGGGTCAAACCACAATGGTAAAATTAGACGATACTTACAACAAAGTAGTTGGCGCCAAACTAGTAAAACTTTTACTAAGGGATCCCAAGGAATTAAAGGAAAAGCGCAATGATAATCTTCCATCATTTGAAGCATCTGATCCAAGTTCTAGATCAGAAAATATGGTTAGAGAGTATCCTTTTTGTAGTATTCATATATAATGCAATGTTGCTTTTATTAATCTAAAAACTTCGTGGGAGTTACAGGAATTGGCTTTATTTGTTTGTTGAGGCTTTGGTTGTGTTAGCACTGCTTCTTTTTTGTCGTGCAGAGCAATGCGAAAAGGATAAGGCTTGTGTTCTTGTTCGCTACATGTCAGGAAAAAATAGGTGAACTTTTTACCAGAAAAAATAGGCGAACCCCTCAATCCATTGATTATGATCTTGTTGTTTTAACAGATCGCCAACTATTGTGATAGCTTACTTGATGAAGAGCAAAGGGTGGAGACTAGCACAGAGTTACCAGTGGGTGAAAGAGCGAAGATGTTCTGTTGATTTAACTCAAGGTTTGCACTTATACCATTAAGTAGTTCAGTAATTTCAATTGATGGAGGTTTGTTGGTTAAATAGTATATGTTATAGCAAGAGGTTAGAGGTATCAGTTTTAGTTTGCACTTGTACCAAGTTTTCATGTTATTTTTGTAGAATTGAAGATAACATTGCCTTGGTAGGATTCAGAATTCAGAGGAAAATATTTCAAATTTTTGGTTAACTAACACAGAATCATCTTGCACTATAGCTTAATGTGCCTTTCTCTCTATTTTCGGCATCTGAGCCATGGGTCACTTTTCCTATTCATTTTTATTTGTTAACTGTAATATGGCCTAAATCACCATTTTCTTGGCACAGTGAAGGTAAAAATGGAGGAATATAGTCCATATGCTGCCTCTAATTTTCGGGATACTGATGCAAGTCAAAAATACAAAGGGAACTAGCCAAAAGAAGAATATATTGATGAGTGTGAAGTAGAAATTTTTAATGTTTTGTTTAGTACGATAAAAAGTTAAGAGGATAACAGATTTGAGGGATAAAAAAAACATGGTTGGTAAGAAAAGGAAATAAAAAAGATGAAAAAGTAGATAAATTAGTTTTCCTTTTAACTCATCAAAAGCAATCCCTCTAAAATTGGAAAAAAAGAAGTTAATTTTGTGTGTTGAAATGTATACATTTTACCGATATATATATATATATATATATATATATATATCATATTTATCTACTATTACATATTATATATAAATTAATTTCATATATAAAGATAAAATAGTAAAATATACATTTATACTTTTTTATCCTACAAAAAAAAAAACATTCTTATTTTTTATCACTCTTACCAAATATAAATGAGAAAAAAAAAAATTTCTCTATTAAATTATAAAAAGTATATCACTTTTATTTTTTATTTTTTCACCCATTTTACCAGACACACCGTATATCTGTGGAGATGCAAAGTTGGAATTCTCCTAAATTTTAATAAGGGATCACTGAAACAAAACACAAATTGAATACGAATTCCAACTTATTATAAGTTCACCCATGAGCCATCATGCTAGCTGCAACACAACACGTCGAGTACTTAAAGCACAACAGCATAAAATAATACACGCTTGTAGTGTCCTCCACTCCCAGCATAAAATAATGTCACCTTTCACTCTCTCCATTTTCTCTCTCCTCCTTGCAGCCTTATGCTCCTTCATATATCTCCGGTGGATTGCCACACCGTCGACGACTAGAAAAAATGGCCGTCGACTTCCACCAGGTCCCCGAGGCTTGCCCATCATCGGAAACCTCCATATGCTGGGCAACCTCCCCCACCACAGCCTCCATGAGATGACCAAAAAGTATGGCCCTATCATGTCCCTCCGGCTAGGCCGCGTGCCGACTATTGTCGTCTCATCTCCGGCCGCCGCCGAGATCTTCCTAAAGACCCACGACATCCTTTTTGCCAGCCGGCCGAAAGTCCAGGCGGCGGAGGTCTTGTTTTATGGCAGTAAAGGCGTGGGTTTCACTCAGTATGGTCCGTACTGGAGAAACGTGAGGAAGTTTTGTACACTGGAACTTCTCAGCGCCACCAAGATTGAGTCACTTGCTGGGATGAGAAGGGAGGAGCTTGGGTTGTTAGTGGAGTCGCTGAAGGCGGCAGCGGCTGCGCGTGAGGTGGTAGATGTGAGTGAGAAAGTGGGGGGGCTGATTGAGGACATGACGTATAGGATGCTCTTTGGACGTAGTAAGGATGATAGATTTGATCTAAAGGCCGCCATTGAAGAGGCTTTAGAACTGATTGGAGCTTTTAATTTGTCAGATTATGTACCCATTTTGAAGCCACTTGACCTTCAGGTACTTAAATTATTATTTTTATTTTCATGTTATTATAATAGTATATTGTCCGTGATGTTGGATTCTTTACAGAACAATCTCACACACCCCATATTAGACCGTTTCACCCATTTCTTTGCCATGGTATTCATGAATTTGGATTCTCTCTATTTTAATCATACTCCTTTTCAGTAATGGTACACTAACTAAATTTTAGGATCAAATTTAAAATTCAAATGATATGACAGTTGATTTGAATTTTTTTATTAGGTATCATGTTATTTATGTCTCAATAAAAATTTTAAATAATGTGATGTCATATCATTTGGACTCCAAATTTAATTTTAATATTTGGTCAATATAGCATTACTCTTTTCAATAATACATCGGTAAATTTATAATCCATGAGATGTTACTAGGTACCCGAAAAATTTATTGGTGAAATCTAACCAGATATTAAACTAATCACCATAGGCTAGTTTGCGGTTGAATGGTCGAACAAGTAATAAAGCTTAAACAAGTACATATGAAGTTTTAATTTGAATTTCTTGGTTATGTAAAACTCGAGTTTTATTAATGTCGGTAATTTTAATTCGAGATTTGTATAGGATGAAATATCTCTATTCTCAGGGGGCGGATCCTCACTGCCCCAAGTGCAATTTTCAAATACTTTTGGGTTTATTGGAAAATTTTAATTTTTTTTTAAAATTGCCCCTACTAAATAAGTAATAAAATTTTATGAGTGTTTTTATATTTAAACAATATTTGGACCTCAAATTTAACTTAATTTATTGACTTAATTATGTTTCAAAATAATGTGATCCCAATAAGAAGTTCACGAGTTACAACAAGTTGTAGTCTATAATCTATATTTATAATATAAAATAGGACATACTTTAATAAAAGTCATTCAATTGTCTTAAATAGACTTATCCACCACCCACTATATTCCACCAACCACCCCCACACACTAGCACCCACCACTTACCACCACCATCACCCACCATTGTCGCTAGCCACCACCCATTCCCACCACCACCCCATCCACTATCTGCCACAACTAACCACCACCGCCCCCTCCCCCCACACACACACTAACACCCATCTCCCACAACTACTATCACCCACCATTGCCGCCAACCATCACCCATTCCCACCACCACCACCTGGTCAGTACCCGCCACCACCACCTCTACTCATCATCACTTAACCCAACCCTCACCCATCACCCAAACACAATAAAAAAACTAGTCTTCCACTCACCACCAACAATCACCGCTAGCCACTATAACACAAAATAGTGAAAAACTAGTCCACCATCACCACCCATTGCCATCGCCACCTCCAACCACCATTGTTGCCAACCACCATCCAAACAGGGAAAAAATTAGTCAATCACCCACCACCACCCACCATTGCCATCAACCACCACCACCAACCACAAAAAACAGTAAAAAACTAATTAAACTAAAAAATAATAAAAAATTGGTAAACTAGAAAATAGTTAAAAATAGTGACCTCAAAAATAATAAAAAATTAGTGAATACCAAAATAATAAAAATTTATTGAACTAAAAAATAGTGAAAAATTATTGATTTCAAAAATAGTGAAATTCCTGAACTCAATAATAGTGAAATAATGAACTCAAAAACAATGAAAAATTATTGAATTTAAAAACAGTGAAAAGCTAGTGAACACAAAAATAGTGAAAAACAGTGATATAAAAAATATTGAAAAATTAATAAATTTAAAAATATTGAAAAATTACTAAATTTAAAAATATTGAAAAATTACTGATTTAAAAAACAGTTAAAAATTACTGAATTAAAAAATAGTGAAAAGTAGTAAAATATTATTGAACTCAAAAATTGTGAATATTAAAAAGTACGTTGGTCATATTAAAAAATAAAAAAATTAGATTGGACTACTTGACAAAAAAAAGACGCCAATGTGGACTTAATATCATAAAAGTACATAGCCCGAACTAGAAGACAAAAAAGAACATCCCAATGGATTTATGACTAATTTTTGTTATTTTTTTAGCTGTAACTAATAAATTCTCTCATTGGGACCATATAACCTCCCAAAACTTTATAAAAATTCAAGTTGAAATTGGTTTTAGATGATAGAAAAATGTAAACAAAATCGATGTGTTTGTTGTGAATACATTGGTAATTATGAGCCCAAAAGAAAAATTGTTTTCCAATTATGTTTTGATGAAACAAAATTTTCATAAATGCCTACAGTTGAGTACCGTGTAGAGATTGTAGAGATTGCTAAATCATGATGTTTACTTCTCCAACATGGTTCAAGGTCGTGGTATCAGCCATTAACTCGGAGAGTTCTAAAACACATCAATCGCAGCGTCGCGGAGCGGTATCAGGCGATATGATTTAGAAGAAAATGTTGAATATGATGAGTAATTTAGGATATATCGCGGTGTTCTGGAACCATATAAGTCAATTTGTTGACGATATTTTGGCGACTCAGGATTGATTCGGATACAACTCGAACGATTCGACCGAATTGTGCAAGACTCGGAGTTTACACGTATCGTGTAACGGTATCGTTTTCGATGATGCCGAAACGGATACAGTTCGACCGACTCGTATCGGTATCGACCGATACTTTGAATTATGTTCTCCAAAGCACAAAACTGGTTGTGCATTGATAATACTAAATAACCACTACTATGGTCCAAGTGGAATATTGGAGATTTGAATGATATAAACAGAATTTTGGCCACCAATAGTGTAATTACAACATACTGAATGTGGACATGAGCCAATATTTTTCTTCTTCTTTTTTTTGTTTTTTTCTCCTTACATAATAACACGTGCATAATACTTATTTTCGTTATTCAATTCATGAATCGAGTTTTGTAAGACCTTGAATTTTACAGTTTGTGATATTTTTCATTACTCATATCCTTCATTGCCTTCAGGGATTTAATCAGCGCTTCAAGGCAATCAGCAAAGTTCTTGACCAAATCATGGAGGTAATTCTCAATGAGCATGAACAAGATGCTAGCAGAGGGTTTCAAAGCCGTGACAAGGACTTCGTCGACGTAATGCTATCATTGATGAACAAGTCCAGCAACACTCATGATCAATTATCATACACTATCAATCGAAACAGCATCAAAGCTGTCATACTGGATATGATCGCGGGAGCCATTGATACTTCCCATACTGCCATTGAATGGATTTTCTCAGAACTGATTATGCACCCGAGGGTGATGAAACGACTCCAAGAAGAGCTAATGAGTGTTGTAGAAGGGACTCGAATGCCTGAGGAGAAAGACCTGAATAAGTTGGAATACTTAGACATGGTGATTAAGGAGAGTTTGAGACTTCATCCAGTGGCACCATTATTGATTCCTCGTGAGTCCATGGAGGACATAGTGATCGGCGAATATGACATCCCCAAGGGGTCACGAATTATCGTGAATTCTTGGGCATTAGGACGAGACGCTAAAGTGTGGTCGAAAAATGTGCAAGATTTCCTTCCAGAGAGATTTATCGGCAACAATATTGATCTACGAGGTCGTGATTTTCAGCTCATACCATTTGGGGCAGGGAGAAGAGGCTGTCCTGGGATGCATTTGGGGTTAATCAACATAAGATTGGTGGTGGCTCAGTTAGTGCATTGCTTCAACTGGGAGTTACCTGATGGCATTTCACCTAGTGAGTTGGACATGAGGGAAAAATTTGGTTTAACAACGCCAAGAGTCACACATTTACTCGCTCTGCCAACTTATCGTCTGCATTAATCAAACTTATAATAGCTTTCTTGAACACTGCCATTTCCCTTCCCCCTCCTTCAAAAAAAAAAAAACTCTTTTTCTTATATATTTTTATTGTTCAGATGTAGTCTATTGTATATGGATGTCGACACTGTCTTGGTTATATGGTCACAGTTAAACAACGTGATAGAATGATAAAATAAAATGTTGTACTTGGAGAATAAGTTTTCTGTTTATGGTGGAGTCGGGGAGTGTAAGTGTAATACAATCTTAATTACTTCTATTTTTTGTGTGGATAGAATATGGGACTCGAATGCACGATGTATTGGTTGAATGAAGGATGGAGTTAGGATTTTGTCCTAAGAGGGGCTAAATAATAGTATAGTTGGAAATTTATTCAATTCGATTATTCAACAAGTGACAAAAAATTAGTTACATAGAACTTATCAAATCAATTTTTATACAAATTATTTTAAGTCATATATTCCAAAAATTGATTTCGGCTTAGCATCGTAAAATTTATCTTGTGATGATGTCATCGTCCACTTATTACCATATGTATAAATAAATATCTAAATATATATATATAATGTCTATAAGTAAATTATGATTACAAATTATAGTTTGGTAGTACTGTAGTAAAAATGAGTCGAGTCAATGCATTGTTATGGATATAAAACAACATTTGAAACCCAATTTTGCAATAATTTATTTATTATTTTTTGTTCATCAATTTCAGCTTAGCAAGTGTCTTTGTCTCTAAATTAATATTCGTCTACGTGCTTACGTCCGTCATTTAATTGTTAAATGTCAGGTATTAAAGATTGCTAAGCACAATAAAAAACCCTACATATAGGGTTTTTTGAAAATCTAAAACTAACATAACCTTTTAAAAACTTAGGAGGGTTATAGAGAATTTTTGAAAATGTTAGGGGTCAATGACCCCTTTGCCACATACTATCTTCATAACACACACACACACATACACAAACCACCACACCATCCCAAATGCACAACACACACACTGATCGATGTGGTAGAAATTTTTACTCTTCAATTTGTTTTGAATTTCTAGATTGAGAACGGGCAAAAGAGAGGCATCTAAATTTTGGGATTTTATAGTTTTGGTTCAAATTTGGTTTACACATATTTGGTAGTGTTTATGTTACTATTTATTTGCTTGGTTGTGGGTTGAGCAGTGAATTTAAGATTTCCAGTCAATTCTATGTTATCTATCACCAGTCTATTGCATTTCAATTTATGAATACATGATTGTATTTGATTAACAATTAGAAGTATTGTATACAGAAAAGATTGGGAATTGATAATAGTACTAATTTAAGTCTAATTAGAGATCAATGCGTGGTGGTTGAACTTTGTGAAGCAGTAAAATTTATGGGGCAGCTTCAAAAGGTTTTCTTGAACCAGAGCTGTATCTATTCTATTCCTTGCAAGAACTGCAACCTTTCTTTCCCTACATCATACTCAAAAATTTATATTGCAGTATTTATTGGGAATTTTAATAAAGTATTCTGATGTTTTATCGAATTCTTCACAGGAATTGTCTGATTAGAATAGTACCCAAAGAAATTGGTATGTGAAAAAACCTCAAGGTCATGGACTTGGGTGTGAACCAGCTTTCCAGACGAATTGCTCCCGAGATTGAGAATTTAACTAGGATTGGGACTATGTGAGTGAAGTTTTAGTGTTTTAGGAGGAGGATGCAGGGAGTGATTCAAAGGATTTGGGGGATGCTTCTGCTTCTGCTTCTGATTCTACCCTTCTACCTTTCTTATATTTTCTGCTTATTTTTTTTGTCTATAGTTAGTGTATAGGTTTTAAAAGAACCTTAGGATTCTTTCTTTCAAAAACAAAAAAAAAAAAAAAAAAGAACCTTAGAAAGCTTTCTTTCGGTTAGTAATAGCTTAGTAGAAGAATCTTTAGGTAGAAGGCTATTACATTTTGTAGTTTTGTACCTAAAAGCACGACAGATATATACATGAAGTTTTTTTTGATTCCATTGGTGTCTCAATTATTCTTTAAGCATATGCATTTCAATTTGATGATAGTTATTACGTGATGAAATGTGCATTGGAATTTCTGGTGTAATGTTAGGAATTGTTTATGTTTGTTTATTTTTAATTTGTTGAGAGACTAGCAAAGTCTAACCAGGCCTCATATAATTCATCTTAACTATGTTAGTTACTTAATTTTTTTGTTTTAGTTTAATTTTATATTTTTTGAAGGAAATTGGTGTTTGCCGGTGAACACATGTAAAAGCAAGGTTTTTAACACTATTTCATGATATAGAGGACATTGTGGATGGTTTAGGAGGTTCGGAGTTAAACCAAACCCACTTTGAGCATAAAACTAGAATGTTTCAATGATTGAGTTGTTTAGATTAATTGATTAATTAAAGTCAAAAATACTATCGATATGTATATCTTATTACTTACCTGTAGACAATTAAGTCTGGTACGGGTAATTCTTGGAATACTGCAATCGAAATGGGTTTAATTTTTTCAAAATCAAATCAATTGACTTGAATACAAATTTGTTATTCACATTTAGATGTTTAATGAATATCTACAATTTGAGTGCATTTGAGTATAATTTTAAATATGTTATAGAATTTGAGTCAAAACACTTGTTTACAAAGAGATGAACTGGTTAATTGGTAGAGTTCATCTCTTTGTATCATAACCAGTTCTTTTCCTTTATAGAATTTGAGTCAAAACACTTGATACTTTCTCTAAACCAACTCTCAAAATTCAAGGTTTTATTTTTCTTTTGGCTCTCACCCTTTGAGCCTTCGTTTTCCCTGAAAAGACGACTTTGATAATTGGCTAAGTTATAAATACGATACCGCTTCTTACGCTTTGAAATTTCTTATTAATTTAAGGGTTAATCTCATTTTGTACCCCGAAAGATTGTTCGAATCTCAATTTGTATCCTCAAAGATTAAAAATCTCAATTTACACCCTCAAAGATAAAAATTTGTATCAATGTGCACCCCCAAAGATCAAAAATCTCAATTTGCACCCCCAAATATAGAAATTTGTATCAATGTGCATCCCCAAAGATAAAAAATCTCAATTTGCACCTTCAAAGATAGAAATTTGTATCAATGTGCACCTAAAATTAAATTAATAAATTATATCTTGATCCCCTCATGTTTGTCACTTAATCATTTGAACTCCTTCACATTTAGAATATTCCCCTTACATCTCATGACGTTTATGCATGTGTAATACATAACCACTTTTCGTTGATATATATTAATATAATCATTAAAAAATATGATTTTATCCTAATATAAAATTATAATTTTATATTACCTTTTATTTTGTGGATTTGATATACTCTAAAGTTAAAAATCAAGTTTACCATTTGAATGTCTAATAAAATGTAGATATTTATATAAAAGGTAATATGAAAAATATTATATAAATATTTATATTTTATTAGATATTCAAATGGTAAACTTGATTTTTAACTTTAGAGTATATCAAATCCACAAAATAAAGGGTAATATGAAATTATAATTTTTATTAGGATAAAATTATATTTTTTAACGGTTATATTAATAGATATCAATGAAAATGAGTTACGTGTTATACGTGCACAAATGTCATAAGATGTAGGAGTAATATTCTAAATGTGAAGAGGTCTAAATGATTAACTGACAAATATGAGGGAATTTAGGTATAATTTATCAATTTAATTTTAGGTGCACATTGATACAAATTTCTATCTTTGAGGGTGCAAATTGAGATTTTTTATCTTTGGGGTACACATTGATATAAATTTCTATCTTTTAGGGTGCAAATTGAGATTTTTGATCTTTGGGGGTGCACATTGATACAAATTTTTATCTTTGAGGGTGTAAATTGAGATTTTTGATATTTGAAGGTGTAAATTGAGATTCGAACAATCTTTCGAGGTGCAAAATGAGATTAACCCTTAATTTAATACCACTCTAAAGAGCAAGCAAGAAACTCAATTCCTGATAGAAACTGTATTTTTTGATTTATTTCATCTATTCCATGAACGGAACAGGAGAGGATACACATTACACCGATTTTGAATAAGAAGAGATATTTCAAGAAATGATAGATTTATTTACTCTATCAATAACCGAGCCGAATCTGATGTATCATAAGAGATTTGTCTTTTCTATTCCTACGGATTCAATGAAACCAACCCATAGTGTCATACAAATTTCCACCACTTCAATTCATCATCCGATTATGCACTTTCATAAGCCATACACTTACAAACCCACACAACACACCCCAACGCACACACAACACACAAACACATCCACACACAGACACACAAACAGAGACCCACACACACACACAAAAATTAGACTCACGCACACACAGACCCACAGTTCCGCACACACTCAAATTCTATACAAATCTAACTCAGATTTGCGCACACACACGTGTACATAAGTAACTGCAAATCTACGCAGATCTAAGTCGAGGGTGGCTCAACAATATTTGAAGCCTAAAACAATAGCGGTCAATGATATTTTTATATTTTTTTAATAATAATTTAATTTTTCAATTTAAAATCTATTAGTTTTACTTTTTGATGAGATTTGAAATTGCAATTTTTTTATTTAAATTTTGCTAATATATTTTTTTAATTAATAATATGACTTTTGATCATAAATATTTAAAGGAATAAAATTAATTTCTTCATTAATATTTTTATATTTTTTTTATATATTCTTTATCGAAATTGTGGAATTAAATGATTAAATTTATTATAAATAAATTCATTGTTATCTTTCTTTTGAATTATTTTACTATCTTTTTATCCATGCAACTTTCACCTAAATTTTTGTTATATTTTATTTGTTACAAATAAAAACTTTATCAAAACTTTTTTTTTTAATCAGAATGAATGGTTTAATTGGTGTTTTACGTTCAATCGAGGCAAAAAAAAAAAGGACAAATTTAAGAGAAATAAAGAATATATATATTTTTTTTGATTAAAGAGATATGTTTTTTACACTTCTTTTGATTGGAGAAAGAGATTGGGTTTGTCAGCATTTTTTTTATTAATCTTTTTTATCCTTTAATAAATATGATTGTGTGAAGAGGTCTAAACTTTTGGGCCCAAATTTTAAATTTTTTTGTTGGTTTACTCTCAACAATTAATTTTTTAGGCAATATTGTAATAAATTTTATTTTTTAACTTACATTATATTATTGATATTTAAATTTGAGACTTTTTTCGTATGTGGGGCCTAAAGCCCCCGCTTTTATTTTTGTACTACAGGGCCAGCCCTGATCTAACTATATATGTATACTTCTAACAAATCTAACTCAGATCTAAGTATATATATGTATATATATAAGTATACCTTTTGTTCAACAGAGAGAGGCAAGGAAGTGACAGAGTGAGAGACCTTTGGGTCTTCGTCGCACAGACAGATGCGAGAGAAAGCTTCGATTCTTTGAGTCTTCGTTGCACAGAGAGAGGCGAGAGAGATCCATCACCTCTTCGTTCTTCAAGGCTTCAATTACACAGACAGAGAGAGAGAGAGAGAGAGAGTCATGTTGGAGAAGAGGATGTGATTTTTATACTTCCATAAAAAAGGGGTGTTTTGGTGCTAACAAGATTCGAAGGCCTCATTAATTCCCCCAACCTCCGTCCGCGTGTTTTCGTTTTTGCCTATTTTTAAAAACTCCCTTTTCCTGTTTGCATTTTGAGTATTGTTTTCAAAACAACTTAGCTTCAAAAAAAAAAAAAAAAACACATCCCATGCTTGTTATTATTTATTTATTTTTTTTACAAAAAATAAAAAACACAAAAGAAAAATGCAAACCAAACGCAACTATAGTTTCCTAGGCAAAAATGTGACTTATACCGAGGAATGTTTCCTTGGTAATAGCTATATATATATATATATATATATATATATATATATATATATATATATATATAT